CCTTGTATCCTTTGTCCGAGTCAGGGAGGTGAGTTACAAGGTACATGGAGGGATCCCTGGCTTTGAGGTAGAAATTCTGTTGAGGCATGACCCTCAACAGGGAGTAGCAAAAAAGGATATCGTTGAGCCCAACGTTTACCCCGAGACGGTTGTTAAGCTCTAAAACCCCCATTATTATCCTAAATACGTTAAGGCAACACTGCCCCGGGAAAAGTCTGAAATGGGCGAGGAACTAGAGGAGTAGAGGAGGCATGGGGAACCTAATTCCACCATCTATGATTGCCTTGGTGAAAAATGGCATCTCATTCTCGGCACGATAATACGGTTGTGCAAAACTGGGTCGTACTCATCTATACCTACGTTTGGGGGAATGTGGTATCGAGCCCTAAACCTATTAATCTGCTCTTCTCCCTTCACTTTGTACTTTTCAGGCCTCGAGGAACTGGCCTGGGGATCCTCGGTGACAGGCCGACGTCGGGGCATCTCCAAAGAAGATAAAAACTAAAGAGGAAGGGCAAAGTTTTTTTACGAAGATTCCCTAGGGGTTTCCTGAAGGTTGGTCACAGAATGACAACCAGAAACACCTCCGATTATCGGAGAATCAAAAAACAAAAAAAAAAGAGAAAGAAGAGAAGAAGAGACAGAAGGGCTGAGAGAAGGAAAATATAAGGACTCACCAGAACTTAAACGAAGGTTTTCTTCAAAACTTGGAGTGGTTCCTTCCTCCTGGAGGTTCAGAAGCAAGGATGGGTCTGCTGGCCTTAAGACTCCAGTGAAGATTGGTTTGTAGACAACGTAAGAAAGTGGGTCTCTGGCAAGATTTCAAGCGAGGGCTCTCTAAAGAGTTCAAAATGGCGAAGTGTGAGAGGGAGAGAAAGAACCCATTTATATAGTACACATCCCCATCATTGGGCACGAAGAGGCGCATTTAATGCGCACGACCTCCTAAGCGAAGGAAAGCGGCTAGAGGCAATAATGAAGTGGTTGGGGTAGTTGCAGAACCCTTCGTCTCCTTACGACGCGTGTCCTCAGCGTCAGAAGATCGAAGGTTAGGGGCAGTTGATAGGACATTTTTCGGACACTCCAAGATAGCGACACGTGTACTCGGTGTCAAGAAATACTCTCTGTCGTGATTACGACACGTGCTCGTCGGATCATGATCCCTCTTCCCCTGAGATGGTACTATGCATAAGGATCTACGACGCCGGTATGCACGGGCGACACGTATTCCTCGGTCGAATGGGTGGGTACATCGGCCCTAACCGTACTAGGCCCTCGGCACAGATGTGTACCCACTACATCGGCATTCCTGTTCCTGTAGGGCTATTGATAGACAGGTCATCAGCCTGAGCTAGACTAGATTAGTCATCATGACCTGGTCTTACCTAGATGGTGTCATGAGGCACAGGAAAGCATAAGGCTCAACCAAAGGGGAGCTGGCACATGGCGTACTGTGTCAGATTAGAGGCAAAAAGACCATAATGCCCTTACTGATACACGACTTAGAAAAGCAAGTATTTAATGCACCTTTCCCTCGATGAGATATCATTTAATCCGTGAAGACCCGGAAGTGAAAGACAATGAATGATCCTGTGATAGAGCATTTAATATATCCCAGCCGAGTGAAGGTCATTAAACGCTCAACAGACCAAGGGTGATGCATTGATTGTTCGGGGTCCTGAGCAGTTAAGGAAGAGGTCATTTTTCCTAAAAATCAGTGTGCACGTTACCCGCCTCTAATGATCACCTACTGACCATACTGACAGCAATCATGAGTTTTTAAGGTATAAATACTCTTCACAAAACGCATGATGAGACACGAAAAAACCTTTTCTCAAGCCTATACACAGTGTTTTCTTCTTCCCATCTCTCAAAAAATTGACTTGATCATCGAAGAGGATACGTCGGAAAATACTCCGGCGCCCTCCTAACTCATTTTTCTCTGTTCTAGGAATCTTCCCTAGCCTTACAGGACCACCTCGGTGACCCACAAAAGTCACTCATTACCGTTCCAAGCTACCACCGGTCCTCACAGTCTATTCCGCCCAGAAAGGTTGACTATTCGATTGACTGACTCGTGTTTACCACGGGAGAGAGTTGTTCTCGTGTTTATATTGTGCAAGATCTTGCACGTACACTGATTTAATTGCCTAAATTTGGTGACTGGTTGGCAAACTCCCTTGCGATAAAATCTGGTTTTCTTAAAGTGGCAAGCGGGAGAATAATCTCACAACCCCTGCTCTAATCAAAAGACTAAAGGCCTCTATCAAAGATTTTAAGTCATCAAATTATGATGAGAGTTTTGACTTTTAAAGCACCAATTACTTGGGGCGATCAGACCGGCCGAGTTTGAAAGTCTTTGATGATGCAAGGTTCATATAGGAAAGGGGGCAGCCTTTTGCCCAATCATCCAATTCGCTCCAACAAACGGGCATGATTTTTTAGTCAAAGTAACTTCGTCACTTTCTTATACCCATTAAACAGTTATCCTTTTAGGGTTATGTAGAAATCGATTCACTCTACGTAAACGACTTAATATAATAAAAAGCTTCCACTGACAGTAGATCAACATTTCCCAAGACTTTTCATTACTCATATCAACATTTTCACTTTCATATCGGAGATCCCTAGTCCATGTTTTTCTAGTGCAACTGCAGGGCAGTATGTTTTTTTCTCTTACGCGGGACCTAGTTAAAACAAAGGGCCACTAGTTCAATCTTTTCTGGGTACACAAAGTACAGTGTAGGGCATCTAGTAGGCCAGTTTCCTATCACCCTTGGCTATGCCATTGGGTTTGGTTCATGATTTGTAACAAAACATATCATCTACCACCAGCTTTTGTGTACAACACATAAATAGGCAACTTGGTACATGATTGTTGAATAGGATTTCCAATCAAACGAAGCAAACACTGAAAGTATTTTTTTTTTTTCCCATCATCTGTTGTGGTCCATGTGGGCATCACTGGCCCATCATGTGATGCTGATTAATGCATGCATCAGCTAATTTCTTATGCTGGAATATCATACCACATAATTGAGGAAATGAAAGCTTACCATTGGAATCGGATGTTAATATGTATCTTTAAGTCTTAATACTTGAAAGTTAGAACTACTAAAATTCAAAATAGCTTGAGTTATAATTTAAAATTTTGATTAATCACGAAAATACACATTTAAAGAGGAAGTTATAAGAGTAATTAATCATGAAATATTGTGTTCGTCGTAACTTATCTTTTAAAAGTGTAACTTGACTTTCAAGAATAATGTTTTTTGATACAGAATCAAAAAAGCTTTTCGGTGTCGTAATCGTGCAATGGCCAGTGATATTAAAAAAAGACAAAATTGTTATGGTTATGTGAATGTATAGAAAAACCTGCTTTGACTTCGGACTCTCTGATGCCTTATTAATGAGTAAAGCAGCAAGCACTATGATGAAGAGTTCAAAGTAATATGATATAGTATTATTACATAGGATATATCTGATTCTTAGTGCTCTATAAACTTTGTTGTTGCCATATTGACTTACTAGTTATTGCATGTGTCTGAAGGGACAGAATAATAAAAAATAGTAAACAATAAATATATTTATATTCATATCTAAAATTAAATCACAGACATAAACAAGAGATAAAAAAATTTAAGTATTAGTTTGTAGTGGGGATGAGAGGTGGTGGGCGACAATAGTGGTGGTGGGCGGCAGTGATGGTTGTGGTGGATGACAATGACGGTGGTGGTGGTGGTGGTGGTGGTGGTAGTGGTAGTGGCGACAACAATGATGGTGGTGGTGATGACGACGGCAACTGTGGTGGTGGCGACGGCGACGGTGACGATGGTGGGGTGACGACGGTAGCGGTGGTTACGGTGGTGGTGGTGATGACGGGGCGATGGTGGTATCGGCGACAGTTGTTGTGGTGGCGGTGACGACAACGATGGTGGTAGTGATGGCGACGGCAGTGGTGGTGGCAGTGGCAGCGGCGGAGACGACAGTGATGGTGGTGGGGGTAATAGTGGTGGCGGCGATGACGGTGGTGGTGGTGGTGGTGGTAGAGATAAAGGTGGGGCAGTTTCAAACACAATTTTTTTTTTAAGTATTTATGAGAAATAATTTTAAAAGTACTTTTGAAAAATAACTCCAAACACACCTTTAGGGTGTTTAGGGCGTTAATATTAGTCGTTAGATTAATTTTAAAATAAAATTTAAAGTGATCTCAACCGCGAATAATAAAAGTCATTTTGTTTATTTTTTAAATTTGAATTGTAAAGTTTCATGGTAATAAGGAGATTCTTGCGAAATCATCCCATCAATATGGTAATAAATCACTTTTTTCTGAAAGGTTCAAACACTCTCAGCTGAAGGAGAGGCTTTCTCAGATTTGGCAACTCTCCAGCAGTTGTCTGATATAGTTTTTGGTTGCTAAACTGAAAATTTTTTTGGGAAAGTATTAACTCAAGGCTTTTACTTCCTTTGAAGTTCTGCTAGGATTAAGCATCTTGGTTTTTTTTTTTTTTTAGGCCTTTTGGTTTTTAGATTGGTGTTTCGTATTGTGAGAACATGATCCTTGTATGTTGTTTCTTTGATGAATAGAATTACTTTAAACTTTTGAAAAAAATTATTTTTCTGCATTTAAGTCACATCCACTATCTATCAACGTGTTTCCGATAGATAATTTGTTAGTGAAAGAAATTAAAGAAAAAAATGAGATAAATCATGATTATTCTTGACAAACATAAATTCCAAAATAACTTATTAAGCCAGCCTAAGGTACGAAGTTTCGATCACTTTTGAGTGTGAGAATGGTCACATGCATGTATGTCATATCCCGCTTGCGTAGAGATTGTTTTAGCTCTAAAGAAAGTAAAAGTAAATTCCAAATTTGATCAGGGGCAATTTGGTCTTTAAATATCCTATATAAACACGCCTATCCTTCCTAATCTTTTGCTCCCACCTCCCTTAAAAGTGAGCTCAAATTTCAACTGTGTGTGAGAGAGTGAGAAAAGATGATAAGTGCAGATGATTTCTACAAGGTCATGTGTGCAATGGTTCCTCTATACTTTGCAATGCTGGTTGCATATGCCTCGGTGAAATGGTGGAAGATATTTACGCCGGAGCAGTGCTCCGGCATCAACCGTTTCGTGGCGGTTTTCGCCGTTCCGGTGTTGTCCTTCCACTTCATAGCTCAAAACAACCCATATCAAATGGACACCAAGTTCATACTGGCTGATACTCTGTCAAAGGTCTTAGTGCTCGTTTTGCTATCTTTCTGGGCCATTTGTAAAGGAGGTTTGGACTGGTTGATCACTCTCTTCTCAGTTTCAACTTTGCCTAACACACTGGTCATGGGCATTCCTTTGCTTAAGGCCATGTATGGTGACTTCACTCAGAGCCTCATGGTGCAACTAGTGGTTCTCCAATGCATTATCTGGTATCCCTCTTTGTTTTTGTTTATTCCATCATTTAGGATTCCCTTCTTTTCTCTCTCATTGTATATTTGGTATTTTCTGCTACATTCTCTCTCTCTCTCTCACACACACACAGTGACACAGAGCTTTGCGTGATATTCTCAAAACCTTTTGCAGAAAGGTAGCCGAAAAGTAAGAAATCAGAGTAAAAGCTTCAAGAGTCAAGAATAGCAGATAAAGTAGATGTGAATGTAGCTTAAAAGCTGTAGAACATGGATGATAGATCTCTAACACAGTCACACACATATTAACCTAAACTTATATATATATATATATGTGTGTGTGTGTGTGTGTGTGTGTGTGTGGTCATTATTATATATTGTAATATTTCAATATTTGAGGTAATCTAATGTATTTTCGTATGTGACATGTAGGTACACTTTGTTGCTATTCCTATTTGAATATAGAGCAGCCACCATACTAATCAAACACCAATTTCCTGGCGCCACTGCTGCCTCCATAACCAAATTTGAGATCGACGGTGACGTAATCTCCCTAGACGGCCGGGACCCACTTTGCACGGAGTCGGAGGTCGATGGCACCGGCCGTATACGTGTCCGTATCCGACGCTCCACATCAACCGCCCCAGACTCAGCTCTGTCCTCCTCCATCGGACTCACTCCCAGGGCATCAAACCTCTCTAACGCCGAGATTTTCTCCGTCAACACACCAGCTCCATTGCATGAATGCCACCATGCAAACTCTGACACTGTGTACGGAAATGGAGAACTAGGGTTTGGGTATCGAGCATCGAGTCCTCGGCTTTCCGGGTACGCCTCGTCAGACGCGTACTCGCTTCAACCAACGCCACGAGCCTCGAATTTCAACGAATTGGACACGACCACAGTGACAACGACGAATACGCCGGTATGGGTCAGGTCTCCGGCGGCTGGGAAGGTTTTCCGGCAGTCGTCTCCGTCGTTTTCAGGGGTGAAAATGGTGTGGGAATCACCTCAAGTTGGTGGTGGGGTTGCAGAGAGACAAGGGTGCATAGATGTTGGAGGTACGTATAAACGTATTGTCGCCTTTGGGTGACTGACAACTAGTGTCTTTTTCTGGTTCTAGGGTTTCGTTTTTCTCAGACCAAAACTCTGTTTAAATGTCACCGTATTTGTTTTTATGCGAGACAGACGCTGTCGTTTGATGGTACCAACACCTCTGAGAGATTCACCATAAATATCTGGGCTTCCATGCATGAAATTTTGTTAGGTACTGTTATTAATTTGATGATAAATATAATAAACATAAAATGATAATATTAAATTAAAATTAAATATTTAAATCTAAATAATATTATCGTTATCTTATCGCTACATGCAATTACATATGGTCAGTTCTTGATTTTGACAGGTTGATTTTTTTTTTTTTTGTGTCTCTTATGTTTATGTTTGTCTCCTTTTGACACACTGAACTGATCGGCCCAGACCAGACTTGACCTGAGAAAGAACCAAAAATACTATCAGTCTGTCTTCTTTTAAATTTGTAGGTCTTTTCAATTTTTTGTCCATACATTTATTATTTTTATGCTTTTTTTTTTTGTACCGTAAAAATGGGTTTCGTTGATAAATTTTTTTATCGCATTTTATATCTCAAAAAATCTTTAAATTTTTAATTCACACCCTAAAAGATTAAAATTTAAAATTACGGACTTGATCAAAAAGCTTAAAATAGATTAGTATATATATATATATATATATATATATATATATATATATATTGACATTCGACTTTTTTGGCATTTTTCCCTTTCTATAAGCAGAAAAAGTAATTCTTGACTCACAAGGAAATTTTAATATCTTTCTATTTTTTCCTTTTACTAAGCAAACAACAATTTTAATTTTTTGCTATAAAAGTTATGATGAAAAACATTATCAAATAGAATCCAAGACTTATAGTAATTCTCTCGATGAGTTTTCGACTTTTCATTAATAGACTTTTGTAAACACTCACCTTGCATTAGCCTCCTCTTCCCTCCTTCATGTAAATGATCACAATATTACCGTTGGTTCTTATTCTCTTTACGACTTAAATCTAACATATTTCTTAATAAGAAGCAAAAAAATGTACTCCGATCCAGTTTTATACTTTTTTTTTCCTCCATTTTCTTTCTTAGTAAATCATCAACCATCAATGAGCTAGAGAGGTAAAATGTACTAAGCTGAATTTCACCCTAAAAAAAAGGCTACTAATTGAACAAATAGTTGATGGTACCATGTATTTGTTAATTCAACAGACCAACTAGTAATTCATTTTAACCCAAGAAAAAGGAATTGAAAAAAGAAGTCAAAAGGTTGAATAGTTGGTCAATGTAATTGATTCCTAGATTTTCTGGACCCCTATTAGATAGGCAAGATCATTACTTAAAAGCACGTGTGGTTGGTAGAGACAGTCACTTTTATATTCCATGACAATCTTATTAAATTTTGCCCACTAAATCTACAATCATAGTTTTTAACGAGTGCAGATTCCACGGTGGATGGGGTTTGATTGCCTATGATATGTTTTGTTTACGAATTTCTCTGCATAGGGCATCACCCGATATGAGTTTAAGTGAGACCTGCTTATATCAATGGGTTTTTAACAAAACACAGTAGATAATATAATTAACATCAAGAGAATGAACCTACTTGTGGTACTCGATGAATATAGTTTGAGAGAAAATACAGGTTAAAAAGAAAACAGAGATGAGGGATTTTGAGACAATGAATGATGGATTTGCCCCCCCTTTTGCTTCTTTATCTAATTTTCTTGTTACTTATTGCTATTTTTGTTCAACATATTTGCTATTTGTGCTATAAAATGTCTAGACAGACACCCTCTGATAATGGAGTTTCATTCATTAATCTCCCATGCAGGCAAAGATCTTAGCTTCAGGGATTGCGCAAAGTTCTCAACACAAGAGGAAGGAGATTCAAATGGCACAGCAGCCAATCAAGAAATGCCACATGCTTTTGTCTTGCTAAGGCTCATACTGATCATGGTTGGGAGAAAACTTTCACGTAATCCAAACACTTATTCTAGTGTCCTAGGCCTTCTATGGTCTCTTGTCTCATTTAAGTGAGTCATTTATTACGGTCCTTTAGTCACTTTGCACTGTCAACAGTATTATTTAGACATAATTTATTAATTTAATTTATTACAATTATTAGATTGATAATAAGTTTTGAAGAATATTGAAACTCATTATCGATGGATAGTGAATGATTAAATCAATAAATTAAATTCAAATAATATTACTTTTACACTATTGCATGATTTTGAGGACATGACTTAAACCAACAGCGTGATTAGTCCACTATTATAATTAAACTTGACTATGGTACTATACCTTTAAAATTTACTATTTTTGTGGGCATTTTTACAACAAATTTTTTTTTCATTTTTGTAGGTAATTTACCATTTTTATATCTGTTTTTATATGTGTTATAGTAACTATTTTTACCACTAACACCTACAACAGTGATAAAAATACCCATAAAAAGGATAAAAAAAAGTTTATACAAAAGAATAATTTGGATGTCACAAGTTCAAATTCCGAAAATAATCTTTCCGCATGTTTGTGTAGATTTGACTTCTCCAGACATCAATGTCAAGAGACTTGTGCACTCGGCTATTTTCAATACTGCATGATAAATTGGGATCATGGTAGTATCTCAATTAATTATTAATCATAACAAGCTACGTTTGATGGATTGTGCAGATGGAATGTGGGGATGCCAAGTTTGGTTAAATATTCGATAAAAATAATTTCAGATGCAGGCCTTGGGATGGCCATGTTCAGTTTAGGTATGTGATTAAGGTCTCAAAATACTGGTATATTATTTGGTAACATTTTTTCAAGTTATATTTTTTTTCAACATATTTAACTATAGTATAGCAACAAAATTGCAGGGTTGTTCATGGCACTTCAGCCCCGGATAATTGCTTGTGGCACAAAAATGGCGACCCTGGGGATGGTGATCCGATTCATTGGTGGCCCGGCATTAATGTCAGCTGCATCTGTTGCAGTTGGACTTCGAGGACGACGACTGCACACAGCCATAGTCCAGGTACCATGATGTTTATATCCATATACAAGATGCATATATATATATTTTTGTATTTGTAGTTATATGTCCATTTTTGAACATCTTAATTTTGGTACAAAAATTTCAGGCAGCTCTTCCTCAAGGAATTGTACCATTTGTTTTTGCCAGAGAGTATGGGTTGCATCCTGAAATATTAAGTACTGGGTAAGTGAAACCCTTTCCCATGATTTTCAAGCAAACTATAGAGTATAAAGATTATAAATTGTGATAGTTTGACTTACTTGTTCTCTTACTTTCGTTTAGTTTTGGGAAGTTTTGTGTCATAATCAATCTTTGATATAGCATAACTTTACCGTTATGCTTCGCCCGTGGATGAATTAATATGCCTGTGACCCTTTTTTCTTATTTTCTCTGCATCATGTATTGCTTAACTGCCTCCCTCCCTCCTTTCCTTTTGCAGGGTCATATTTGGCATGCTGGTTTCTTTACCTGTAACCCTGCTCTACTACATATTGTTAGGCCTATGAAGATAAATTGGAGCTAGCCATCAAAGGAGAGGACACAAAGCATCCAAAGTATTATGTTCCTATAATGCCATCCAAGTGGACCATTCTTGGTCCCATTGATGTTGGACCTAACCAATCTGTGGCATGTAATTAGCAAGATCAAAGGGTTCCTAGGCTTTCCAATTAGGTAAGACGCTCCGAAAATTGACTTAGAGAGAACGGATGCAATTTCAAAAGGCTGAAATAAGCTCTTGAATTTACTGGTCTAGTACATGCATTAGTGGCAACCGAAAGGAAATGGAACATCATGACTTATGATTAAGGTGGGAGACTTAGTTTTCTAGTGAGAGTGGAGAAAGTTGATGTAACATAGTTTGTTACGTTTGACCCAAGAAAAAGGAAGAGAAAAAAAAAGGTGGAATCATTCCATTTCTGCTTTTGTGTTGTATCATTTTGGTTTTGGAAAAATTTGTCACACATTAGCTCTTGCTTTTGCCTTGTCAAAATGTGTATCGATCTCAGAATAGACAGTTATCATATTGCCTTGGCCTTGAAGCTTTGTGCAGAAACCGTCCGGGTCATGCGTGAGGAAGGGAGTAGTATGAATAGAAAAAATCTATATGCATGAATGGGATCGAGATTTAATGGCAAAAAATTTTGGGTCAAGATTTGGGTCCGCCGTATCACGTTCAGCCTTGATCCGAAGAAAAAAAATCCTAATGCTCCATCAATCTCAATTTCAATGGAAATCTTGGGACCAAAATAGCAACTCCTTGAGGTCTTGTATCAACCAAGACCAACAATGGGTTGATTGGATAGAACTTATGGATAAACACTTCCCTCCCCAATAAAGGCATCATAGGACATATGAATTGATCAAACTCTCAACCTATTCGATGTCTATGAATTGGTGGTTGATTGGTATAGCTATGTGTTTCTGGTCTCAATCTTACAATGCTATGCTCTTTTAATAGGTATGATGTCCCCATCGATTCTAGACATTGAATATTTGATCGGGTTATCATCGACAGGTACTGAAGTTCATGCTTGTCTAAAGTCTTATCAGGTTTTGCCCAATTAGCTTAGGTTATTCGGAACTCGTCAATCACTTCTTCAAACAACACTTGAAATCTCCTTCTTTTGAAGAGCATGTCACCTTTCTCATTCAGTGGCTCTGGCATTTTGTTCTGTGTTCCTGGCTTTAAAGTAACCAAGGAATATATTAATGTGGCAACATGTTTGCCAGTAACAAAAAACTAGCTAGCTTTACCTGCCTGTCTTACGGGCCTTATACATAGGTCTCTTTAATATGGCTAAAAAGAGGATCAACACAAGCTGTGGGGTCCTTTCTGGCTATTTGAGGCCTGGCTTTCTGCCTACTTCCCTAAAATCAGGTTCACTAAACTCTCAGTTATGCCCATCTTTTCCTGCTGATTCCTTCTTCTCATAAAGAATTCGACTCATAGTTCCTTGTTTTCTGTTATATCAATTCCAAAAGGGATCCCTTCTTATTCTTTCCTTTCTCCATATGTTTGTATTTTTTTGTGCCTGCTTTTCCTTTGGAAAATGATGTGGACCATCTCCATGGGTATATTTTTCTTATAGTTTGAAGATTCTTAGATCAGAACCATCAAAGATTTTCTGAGTACCATTTTAGAGTTGGATATCTCATTCTCCTCTAGTACTGACTAGAAGTCCCCTATCTGTAAAATTAGACACACTGTTATCCAGGGAGAAGGCTTCCGGCTTAGTCAATTTCTTGACACATCTGAAGTACATAATCAATGACTCTTCTTCTTCTTTGGGGCCAAGCTTGCTTGTGATTGACTATTTCATCTTTGGGACTATCTTTTCCTTTTCTTTCTCTGTTTTTTCATTCACGATTGAACTTGCAATTCTCCTACATCTTGCGCATTAACAAAAATCACATTAATTCCACTTCCTTGGGAAAATGATCATTATCAATACCCATTGTTTTTTTTTTCTCGAGTTGCATATTTGAGCATCCCCTTTTGTATCAAATCTTGCATAGGGTTTCTGAGAGTAATGCAATTTTTGGTTGAGTGTTGAAATGAACTATGCCACTTGCAATATTCCTTCTATTTCCTATCATTTGTGGAGAGAACGACATGTCCCTAGCAAATAGTAATCAATTTCTGGTTGATCATCTCATCAAAGAGAGCATCAACCATAGACAAATCAAAAGAATACTGTCTATATATCAATGGCGTATCCTTTTTGAATAGGTGATTTGATGACATATTCCCAGGATTTTCTATCCTTTTCAAAGTGTCGCACACAATTCAGATTTCCATCTAAATTTTGGTAATATGTGCCTAGTGCACGATTTTTTTCTTTGTTACTCATCTATGAGAAATATATCATACTTAGTAACCCTGACTGAGAATTCATAGCCTCAAAATTCTTTCTTAATTCAAAATTTAAGTCATTTTAGGCCAATTTCACTAACTCTACTTCACGCATATACTCATGACATGTGTTTCTTCTCTTTTTGAATCTGTTAGTGTACTGTTTTACAAACTCATTAGGTTTCTGCCTTAATCGAGACAAGTATTCTATCGACACTTCTGGTTCATTTCAAAAGAATTGATCATGAAAGTGTTCTTCCATCTCTTGTCATGTCTAAATTGAATTGTGATGAACCATGAAAATGCAATTTTGGTCAAAAACTGTGGGAATAACTTCATTTTCAAAATAATTTTCACCTTTCTCACAACCTACAAATATGCACTATAGTAGATTGATTTTCTTCCCCAGAGAACAAGTTAAAATTAGGAATTTTATACCCTCTAGGAAACTCCTCAAAGTCTATTCATGGGGGATATAACTTACTAAAAACTAGTCTCTTTGTCCTTCAAAGGCCAAGACTATATAGATCTTGAATCATTTCTATTAACTGGTTTCTACTAAAAGTCATGTTGTTATGAATTTTTATGTTTTCAAATGGTTTCAAGGGTTGTCTCGTAGTCTGGGGTTCATTTCTTCTATCGGATGAATAGCAGGCATGAGATGTCGCTCATGACCTCTTCTAGGATGATCTTGAACCATGCTTGACCCATTCCTACTCCTAGAATTGCTGGGATGATAGAAATTAGGGAAAGTTTTAGCAAGTTCCCTTTCTAACATCATATTGAAAATATTTTGGTGTTGAAAACTAGGACCCATATTGGGTGCCATCATTGGTGGCCCTGGTTTCTACAGGAAACACTACTAGGTTGGTATTTCCTTCCTCTATTTCACATGTCCTGATATATTTGTCTGGCCACTCATCAATTAATGTATGATATCTATTAAATCTTGTTTAATGCTTAAATAAGGATCATGCAATACTAGTCTCAAATTTTGCGCAAAATCTTGTATTAATGCATTGTTCTAACCACTAGTTTTGTCATTTCCTTGCATTAAAAGTTTCACTGGGTTGGAACTTGCACTTCCTTCAACATGGTTAGCATTGCCAAGCATGGCTTCCATGTTCTGATTGTGTTATGCTCTAATCATCACTTCGTCTTGCTTCCTTGTTTGCACATTTTTTTATACAAGTTAGTAACATTGTCCCACCGAGTGTACCAAAAGTTAATGGTCTCCACAAAAGATTTCTCCTGTAATCGACAAACTCAATCTTTTCATAGATTGATCTTAGACAATTGTTGGATATTGTGTTTAACTTCCTTGTTTTAGAACTTTCTTGTTTGATTACAATTGATGGATTCAAAGTAGTAAAATGATAATCACAAGATTAGTGAAAAGAAATACACTTTTATTAATTTAGCATTATTTTCTAGATTACAATAGACCGATGAAACATCATTTGAAACTAACTATATTTAAAAATTAATCTGAAACTACTTTTAGATATTTCTAAGTCGTGGGTCTTTGATGAGTTTGATTTGTGTCTTCTCCTTTGCAAACAATACCTCTTTTATAGACATATCTTCATCAATGATTACATTGGGTTTTTTAGGCTATTTTTCCCCAATTTCTCTCTTGTTTTAACTACTAATTTTCATATTTTTTGGAGCCCATTAGGTATTGATAATTGTTGTATTTTCAAATTCTAGAATAATTGCTGCATTCCCTTTATCATAAAGGCTATAACTATCCTTGAATTTGAAATTTTGAACCTCTTTGGTTAATTCGTTTTTAAGACGTTTGTCGTTCATTACTTATTCATCAAAATTAAAATATGATCCAAATAATATTAAATAATTGATGATATTAAGTGACAATAATATATGATATCACCATTAAATTCAATAAATTAATGTGAGATGTGGCTGAGGTGCTAAAAACCGAATGGCTCTGTTGGAAGTTGGAATCCATTATTAAGCAGAGAGAGAGAGAGAGAGAGACAAAAGGACTTTAGTACGTAAAGGTTTGTTTGTGTATGTGTTTTCTCGTACAGTTTGCACGTTGGAGCGGTGGTCTCTCGCATTATATACATAGGAAATCAGTCCATCCCATCCATAATATATAACAGACAGACACGAGGAACAGAGAAAGAATAAAATGTCTAGCACAGCTGGGAAGGTCATTCGCTGCAGAGGTAACTATTGGTACAGTTGGGTAAATTTTTTCTGATCTGGGTTGGACCAATTTGATGCCATGTCTATTTGGTTTTGGTTTTTAAGTCTTATCCATGAATAATTTGATCTAACTTAACCATCAAAATCAATTCACTATTGATAAAGAGATCCTCAAGGCCCATTTGTATACAAATTTGAGAGGTCATGATAGGCCGTGGATATTTAATAATAAAATAGAAAAATCTGTGTTTGAATGTATGGTACAATATGAATGATTTTGAAAAGAATTTTAGTGTCTTTTGAATGAGTCTATTTGATATCGTCAAATAAATTTATTGAAATCTATCATATTTTATATAATAGACTATAATACTTCACAAACGTTAATGGGTAAAGAAAACATACCAAAGTGTGAAATATCATATTAAAACATTCAACTCAAAATCAATTCATATTGAAACATTCAACTCAAAATCAATTGGTAATAGGCGAAAAACATCAATTTTCAGTATTGTGTTACTTTGTGTTTGTGTCTGATCATCTCCATCTCGAGACTGCAGTTCTTTGGTTTTTTTTTTTCTTTGTTAAAAAATGGGTGGGGGCAAGAAAGAGTGTCCAGTGACCACTTTGTTAGGCTCTCACTGATGGAATCATAAAGTCCATAACTGCGCCCGGAACACCTTTCAGAACTAGACCTAGCTAACTAGCATAACGACCAACCACCGAGTCCTAATGGGGACTCTAAGACTCGAACTCTCAACCTCTGGGTAAAGAGTAAAGTCGGTACCACCACTAGACTACCCTACTTGGTCTACAATTCTTTGATTAGTTGCAGTCTAGGTGTTCTCATTCTGATTCTCCATTCAATGGGTAAAACTAGGGGTATCCATGGGCCGGGTTACCAACGGGTCTCGTTATCCGGCCCGAAAAAAGTAGGTCTGAAGCCCGATAGTTGGCCCGCGCCGAGCCTGAGTCCGAGTTCAATATCCTTAAAAAGAGGAATTTGGGTTTGCCCCCAAACCCATTACCCAGCCCAAGAGCCCGCCCTCAAGCCCAACCCACCTACCTTTCATTTGAAAAAAAATTATATTTTTATACCATTAAATTTAAAATTTTGAAATAAGTCTCTCAATATCAAAATTTGAAGTTTTAAAATTTTAGATATTATAAATAATATATTATTTTCTTTTCCATGTATTAAGCATATAATGTTTAAATGGTAGAGTAATGCAAATGATAGATAAGTTAGTAGGTGTCAACCTAATTGAAATTTATTCATTCTATTGGATGTTGTTTATTATTTTATTTTTATCCATTTTGACTTTACTTTTAATTCAAAAATATAATTTACAAAAATATTAAGTTATAAAAATATTCATTATTTTTAAATAAAGATGTTTATAAAAAAGCCCGCAAGCAGGCCCGCCCAATAGGCTCACGGGGTTGGGCTGCGAGTAGCCTACTCCTACCCGAGCCCGGCCCGAAAAAAAATTTTGCGGCCCTAGCTTGGCCCGACACCCTAGGTAAAACACAATAATAGTTATTAAATATGACTTCTGTATCAATTTAGTTTCTAATCTTTTAATTATGTTAATTTGATCTCTACAGTATTTAATTTATATCATTTTGATCCAATAAAAAATTATAGTTTAAATTGATTAATAAAGATGTTCACGTAACTATAGTTAACAGTCCATTTCAGGACCTCTAGTTTTCAATGTGTGTTATTTTCTGTCCTTCATGTTTATAATTTGTATCCCTAAAATATTTTATGTTTCCAAAAATACCCCTCAAGTCTGGTCATTTGAGATGCAAATGACCATTTCCATTAGTCAATTTAAATTTCTATTTTCGATTGGACCAATGTGCTACAAATTAAATACTTGAGGAACTAAACTGACACAATTAAAAAATAGGGGACCAAAGAGACAGCAAAGGGCATCCAAAATATATTTTGCCCCCATTCATAATTCTTAATTCAATTTCGGCTCAGGGATCACTTGGAGGAATAAAACTATGATTCCCAAATTTGTTTACCAAATATTGTATCTCAAATGATGTATTAAAGTCCTATGCATTAAATGTTTGAAAGAAGTTAGTGAATCCCAATAATTCAACAATTCAAATTTGGGATATAAAATTTGATAAATCCTAATTCAGTAAACATAGCATTGCTCCACTTGCATATGTCCAACCCTCATTCCACCACAGACACTAACACACACTTCCCTCTCTTCAAGAAAAAGCCATAAGGGTGTGGATTTATGGGTATTATTGGACTCTTAGGCAATGTGTTTATGCAATAATACATGTGTTTTCTTTACCCATTATACTCAACATTCATTTTCTTGTAAAATTTACCCTACAAGAGTCTCCTACCATATCTAATTGAAATGTATGTGCCTTCTTGATTCAATTGTAGCCGCGGTGGCATGGGAAGCAGGGAAGCCACTGGTAATCGAAGAAGTGGAGGTGGCACCACCACACAAGGTGGAAGTTCGTTTGAAGATCCTCTTCACCTCCCTTTGCCAGACTGAAGTTATCTTCTGGGAGGCCAGGGTGGGTGATTCATTTGTCATTTCCAGAATTCGAATTTTCGTTTATTATTAAATACTTATCTTATGCTCGTAGTATAAATGCATTGTTATTCGTTGGTAATAGTAATATAGTGTCGTACATTAAAAAAAAAAGCTGCTTGTATGGTACAATGTGTGAAAGACAATCACTTCACTTCGTATGTGACCCTGCTGGCAAACTGTGACAATTTTCTAAAGCATTAGCAAATAATGTTCTTTTGCAGGGACAAACACCATTGTTTCCTCGCATTTTTTGGCCATGAAACTGCAGGGTATGTATAACTCTAATCGTCCAAAGTCCGAACGACAACAAAAATACAGAAAAGCTAAGTAAAAAACTAGTATATTTTCATGTTGAATTCGTGCTAGACCTTTATTTTGCTTATTCTGCACTGGGTTTTCAATTTGTATACTCACAAGAAATATATTAAACATTGTACTTTTTTGATTTTCTGGGGATTAGAATTGTAGAGAGCATAGGTGAGGGTGTGACAGATCTCCAACCAGGGGACCATGTCCTCCCCGTGTTCACCGGGGAATGCAAGGAGTGCCGCCACTGCAAATCAGAGGAGAGCAACATGTGTGAGCTTCTCCGTATAAACACCGATAGGGGCGTAATGCTAAGTGATGGCAAGACAAGGTTCTATAAAAATGGGCAGCCTATATACCATTTTCTTGGCACCTCCAATTTCAGTCAGTACACAGTAGTCCATGTTGGCTGTGTATCCAAAATCAACCCTGCTGCTCCACTTGACAAAGTTTGTGTTCTTCGCTGCCGAGTTTCCACTGGTTTGCAAAAATAAATTACCATGTTTTTGTTTTTATCGATATTTAATTCAGTTTTTGTCTGTGAATCTTAAAATTTCAACAGTGTATTGGTTTTGGGTTGGAGGTCTTGGTGCAACTTTGAATGCCGCCAAACCGAAAAAGAATTCAATTTTGCTGTTTTTGGGTTTTGGGCTGTTGGCCTTGCTGTGAGTAAATCCATGTTTTCATGATCTGTTGCTTCTCATAATGACCGAAAAATGAGGTAATCTTACTGATTTCTATGTCAGGCTGCTGAAGGGGCTCGAATTTCTGGGGCTTCAAGGATCATTGGTGTTGATTTGAGTCCACATAGATTCAATGGATGTGAGTAGCTTAGTTTGTTCAAATACCATGTAGTTAAGGGAGGGGATTTGAGTTGTCAGTTCTTTGATCATGATCAATCTGCTTGTTTGTCAGCCAAGAAATTTGGTGTTAATGAGTTTATGAACCCCAAAGATTATGACAAGCCTGTACAAGAGGTTGGTTTCTCTAACTTTGTTGAGTTTGTAAATAGTACGACAACGTTGTATTTTATATGATCAAGCCAGCAAGATCACTTTGTAATTGGTTAAACATAGGATGAGAGATAAGAATTTTGATTGTCAGGTGATTGCTGAGATGACTGATGGAGGAGCGGACCGGAGTCTCGAAAGCACTGGAAACATTGATGCCAGGATCTCAGCATTTGAATGTGTTCATGATGTAAGTGCCTTCCGGTTCTCTTAGTAGTGTATATGACAATGAAACAATTTGAAGTTCTTGATGCAACTTTGCAGGGTTGGGGTGTTGCTGTGCTCGTTGGCGTTGCAAGAAGCAAAGATGATGCATTCAAAACTCATCCCATGGACTTTTTGAATGAGAGGACTCTGAAGGGCACCTTCTTCGGCAACTACAAGACCCGAACCGACCTTCCATCGGTTGTAGAAAAGTATATGAACAAGGTAAAGCCCTTGGTCTCTCTCTTCAAATACAGAGTTGTGTTAGAAACCAGAAAAAATGTGCATACCATAGCCCCTCTGAATCATGGTTCAAGGTTGTGGAACTCATCATCGACCTGAAAAGAGCCACATTTGGTGGCGCCATCATGAGACAGTATCGAGAGACATGCATGAAAAACCAGATAGAAGAGGTTTAATATTCAGGCCACATTGTTGAACTACATCGACTGATTTCGATTATGACAAATCAGAAGATTTGGGGATGGAGATGTCTCAGACAAGTCACATCAGACACGTGGATTGGAAGGTGCGAGTCAGATGACGCGATCTGACTTATCTGCCAATATTTTGAACCATCCTCTCTAAAAATTAAGCATATTAGATTGCCCTGGTACAAAATAGTTCAATATATTGGTGCCTTAACATTGCAGGAGCTGGAACTGGAGAAATTCATCACCCACCATGTTTCTTTACCAGAGATCAACAAGGCATTCGAGTACATGCTTCGTAGGGAAGGTCTCCGCTGCATCATCCATATGGAAAAATTAGAAAATTTCTGAGTAGAGGTTATATTTTGAGGTCGTCGGTTATCGAGTTATTGTAAGATAAATAAGTTTCAAGAAGGTTGTCCATAGAGAACGATTTCAAGGTTATGGTGTGATGTAATGTGATTTAGGTAATAGGACAATGTTGCGTGGTTTATGTTTCCTGGTTTATCTTCCTTGGGTTTTTTCATACGATTATTAATTTACAATGGAGAACATACAAATCCAAATTATGATAATGTTGGGGCTATGAATGATGTTTGAACATTATGTTTGTGTTAGTTTGTTCAATCATAAAAGGTTAGAATAAGGGCTTGTTGTATATATAGTTGAAAAATAGGGTTTATAAATTCCAACGATAGTTCAAGTGATAACAGGAATGAATTGTAAACTCAGACGTCTTGAGTCAAATCTTGGCAATTTTTTAGAATCAGGTCATGAAAAATTTATCCCTTAGTCACGACATAAATGACCAATCTTAGATCGGACCAAAGAAGAGATTAGTTGAGTTGCGCATAATTAGTCAAGATGCACATAAGTTGACCAGAACATTTCTAATCATTAAACCAAAAAAAAAAAAAAAGGCTTATATGATGAGTTAGGGTCTTGGTTGGGTGGATTTGTGTCAAAAGTGTTTGGTTTTTTTCCCGGGTTGTCTGAGTTATGGTGGTGCTGGTTGTGGAAGGTGCAGAAAGAGTGAAGGTTACCTAGAAAGTGAGAAAATAGTTAATACAATGTTGATACTACATCAGCATTTATCACCTCTGAAGAGTTAACTCATTACCTAAACTCTTTTTCTCTCTCACTCCATGGATGCGGGTGGGAGGAGAGGGCCTGCAGTCGCCGAAGGGGAACGAGAAGAAAGAATTAGCTGGATGCAAGTGCTTCCATTCCAATGTGGATGAATTTCATTCTAATGTGGAATAAGTTTAGAAACAAGACCATTTTGCTTCAGTGAGTAACAAGGGGGAAATGTTGACAAGGTTGCTGTGTTGTTGTGCAGTTTAAACATCATTTTTACTTGATTTCCAGGAATGATAAGATCACCGCACAGAAGCAAGAGAAGATTTCTATATTATGAACAGTTAAAAAAAAGCAATCTGCTGATATCATCACGCATCAAATTAAACTCGATGAAGTATATCCATTGTCACGCATCAACAAAACATGAGAGTTAATGAAAGCTAATAAAAAATTTATACAATACAAATAAAAAATGATATATATAACTGGGATTCTGACAGTTTTATATAACCGCATTAATGAATGTATGTGATTCATTGCTTGTTTTGAATAGATCGTTAATAAGAGTCAAATTAAGCACATTTATACCTTCTTATATAAACGATGAGATATGGCATCAATCAATAAGAAAACTTACTTACAAATTCCATAGTCACTGAAGGATAACCCTGTGCTGAGAAAGCAGATATGAGAAAAGTATTTCATTCCACATATCAGGTACTCCAGGCAAGCACCAATGACTACAATCAGGCACTGATGCAGTGTCACTCCAAGGACCCACATGTGCATCACTCCGGAATGCGCCCATGGGTGTCACGTGCAGCAATGCCACGGGAAGTGATAAATTCTTCACAACATTCATGACGATATCTGAAAATGGGCTTCGTTCCCTACCTTTAGTTCTCGACAAGGGCCGCCGAGTTACTTTGCAATTCTGACGGGTTCGACTGCTGTTACCAAAGGCACAGATATAAAACATCAATAGACTCGACTATCACATTGACAGATTAAATGAAAGAAAACTACATGAGGAAGAGGCTCATGGAGGTGGCTATTAACAGAATTCAAGGGAAAGAAGAGACAGAAAAAGTGTAATGGTGGGCAAGCCATGCATTAAAAAGCCAAAATACATTTGTTTACAATAAATGCTAGTGCCATACTCAATTTGACTACAGTTCCATAACTTTCAAGAAAATCCCAACAAGTTTGGCAGCAAATTGATCTATTAAATATTAACAGATGAAGTCATGAAACACACCTCCAATGAGTAGACTCAAAAGTCCGGAAGAATATACGTGTTCTATTCGTGTTGATTGTACTCTCAACCCAAGATGCCCAAGTATTTAATGCAAATCTGAAGGCACCAGTTATTGACATTCCAAGCTTCATTCTTCCACCAACCTGGAAATAGCAGCCCCTGTCTGAAAAGGCATATTAGATGGATTCTACAGACACATTTGTAAAAAGCACTTTTTTTAGCTGAAAAATCTAAAGATGATGGCTTAAACTGTGACCGACAATGCATGCTGCTCGTAAACTGGATTGTATATGTGTCATGTTTGGTTGGGCAGGCAGTCACATAAAGCAGCAGAAAATGTAAATCAAAGACATCTCTCAAATAGGATCAACAGATATAGTTAAGTAGAGGGATGTGAGAGAGAGGTGGACTCACTTAGAAGATATATGAACAACAGTTTGGCTGTACATATAGCTTAATGAAAGAAATTTACATCCACAAAATAGCAGCACCAAATGATCCATGCCAATTAAAGGAAGTATATAGTTGGAGCTAGTAATATCTCTGATGCAAACAAAGTTAATGAAGCTTAAAACAGATGGGCAGGCATATAACAGTTCCATTCCATAATTCAATTAACAGACTAGATAGTGAAACATTACAGGAATGAGATGATATCTTCTCTATCAGATAAAGCTCATTCAAATGCTCCATTAATAAAACAGAATGCAATGCTTTGAAGATGTTTACGAAAACCTAATCTCCAGGGCCTATAATTTTAACAGAAAACGCAGATCAAGGCACCAAATTATACAGAATCGAATAGAACAACAGCTCTGAAAAACAAGAAAATGACTGTAGTTCTAAATAGAGTTGGAGTGCAGAGCAAATAATTAGAACTGATATTCAGCTTTAAATCCCCAAGAGTTGTTCTGAGAACTCCCCACATAACCTACAGAAGGGAATGCAAAATATCATGAATACTTACATGTCGAAGAGCTTTGCTGGTGTCCACCAATGCCCTGAATTAAAGATAAGAATGTCAGAATCAATCCAGTCTGTACTGATATCATCCAACTTATCAAGTTTAAGTGTTGACTTAACCCTCTTGGGCGAACGTTTTGGCACAGAGCCAGGCTGCACCAGAAAAACAGAACGATAGAACTCAACCGTAAAATTGAAGGAGCTAAACCGAACACCTAGATACCTAATCTGTTTAGTGATCTTATTCCCATTGACTTCATACACACTCTTCTTATCCTCTACACCAGTCATGAGCAAGCATATCATAGACTCCCACTGAGTTCTACTCAATGAATCGCCAACAAAAACAACCCGTCTCCCACGAAGCATATCCAAAACTGCAAGCACATCAAACCTTGGAATTTCACAACTCTTAGGCTTCCACCTCCATTTAAGGTACCCTTTATCTTTTCGCCTGTTAGCCAAACAATTAAAACCCAGTTCCGCAAAAGGACATTCTGATGCATTGTACAAAGGGTAACTTTCATCAGGTACCCACCTTCCATCAAACACATTGCATCCATGACCCAGATCAGTAGACATATTACCCAGATCAGTAGACATATTAGTCCCAGAACTATGAACAACTGGTTGAAAAGCTGGGAACATGAATAAATAACCAGAACACATAGCTACAAGAAAAAACAAAAAAGAGCCAATCACAACAAGTACATTGAATGATTGAAACAACCAGCTCTTACAATGCCCTCCAGACAATGAGTTGCCAAAACTCAATACCCTTATAATAGAAGGCCTGAAATAGCCCAATGAACTCCAATATAATCTGCTCACCATCTCGTATAACTAAATGTTCTTCAAACTTACAGAAACAAAATTCAATTGTCATAACAAATGAACCATGAAAATGAAGTTAGCCCAGTACCATCCGTCCATATTGTAACACAAATGCATCAACCCAACTTAGATATGTCGCAGTAACATGTGAAATCAAATATCAGAACCTAAAAACAGCATTCAGAGTAACCGAGAACACCAAATACCCTTCAATTAACAGCACAAGAGCTTGAGTGAACTGAGAATATAGAAAATTTTACAGTTCTTTCAACTGGGTCTGATTCTAGATCAAGAGGTGGCAATTGCAGTTGAAGAGTTGGATCAACAGTGGAAAATATGGTTAAAAGGAAAGGGTATTTTGGCTCTTATACATCAGTTGGTGAAACACGCGGATGGTCTGGCTGTGATCTCTGATCTATTTCTGATCCAGCTGTTCGGTGATTAAAAAAATAAAAAAAGCATTGTCGGTGGTAATTATTTTGAACACAACCTTTGATCCTTGCTTAAGTTAGGTATACTAAGATTTGGAAAACATTATTCCATCCCAACTACCTTCTAATCATTTATTTTGGATTTATATTGTCGTGTCAGGAAGCTATATAAACCAAGCATATATCAATGGAATTTTTGTTTAATGGTAGACTTTCACGAGATCAAAGGTTCAAATTTTTTTTTCTCTCTCTCCCCCTCTCAAAAAAATAAAAAAAATAAAAAAATAATATATATATATATAAACCAAGTATAGTCACTCACAATTAAGATAGAAATGTGTAAACAGAGCGACGAAATTAAAATTTTATAGTAAAAAGTATTATTGTATGGACTTAAAAAGTAAATTTAATAATTATAACAATTGATTTTACTATGATTTTTAACATTTATTGAGACTCATTATCTATTCAATAATTATGATTATCAAATCTATTTTTTAAATTCACATAGCATTAGAACGAAAAAAAGAAAAAAAAATTGACCCAGTCAAAATTCGATAGAATCATTGGACATGTGATTGCTATTGTCCAATTTTAGTTATATTGGGCCTCTAGAATTAACTTTCCTAGTATGCCATGTGTTCAATTAATACATGTCATGTATGTAACACGAAATAACCTTTTTTTTTTCTGTTTTTTCCTTTCGGTCACGAGGCTAATTTAAATGTATGTGAGCTCGAAGTAACATTTCTTTTCTTTTTTAACTTTCGGTCATGAGACTTATTTAAATGTGTGTGAAGGTCTATAAAAAAATATTAATTCAACCGATTATTATCTCTTATTTTGTTATTGAATGTCAAATTATTAGGTTTTTTGAGATACAAATAGATTATCCTTATATACAAATATATAAATTGTTGAAAACCCAAGGAAAGACATAGATTTTTAAAAGATGTAAGAGGAATACAGTGTATTTTTGAAAAGTAGAGTATTAACGTGGTTCGTCAACGCGTGCAAAGATGTTAATCCTTCGATTCGAATTCCTAATACTGAGATCACAATAATATAATCTTATTTTTACCCAGAGGTATGTCCTCGAATGGTTAGAATGCTTATAATAAATTCAAATAAGATTCATTACAAATGATTTCTTTCCCAAAATTGAAAACGAATAGCTTGAGAGTGGTTCTTAATTAATGATGACTCTTTGAAGTTTTTTTCACATATTCAGGTGAAAAGACCTGTCGAAAGAGCATGCTTAGCAATTACACTTTGGTGTTCTACAAACCCTACTCTTTCCATGGTTAGGTGCACACCAAGACTATCTTGCTTAGGATTGTATTTAAAGGCATCATTAGACATAGAAATGGGACCATGAGTTAGATGCCAAAAGAGTTTGAGATTAAAATGTTCTAGGATAAAAATAATAATAATATTAATATTACCTCATTTTGAAGAGGTTATTCCCCATGCTTGAATCCAACTAGATGGTTGCTCCCATAAATGCACACAATTACCAATGGCTTGACCTAGTAGTGAAAGTGAAGCCACTCAATAGGGTGCACACACATTTGAATCTCATGACACTCATTCACTACAAGATGTGGCTAAAGGGCAAGTTTTATGACTAGTCTAGTTCATGAGATTCCCACGAGGCCACGACTGTGAGATTTAAGCCTAAATTGAGTGGATGTAGCCTAAATCATACATGTGGAAAGGCTGTTATGTTAACATAACCATCAATCAAATTAAATAAATGCAAACCCGAAGACTATTATTGATCACTATTTACAAACAATCAAATTAAATAAATGCAAACCTGAAGACTATTATTAATCACTATTTGCAAACAATTTCATCTTTGACGCTCGACTGCTTATGCAATGAATAGAGCAAGTTCAATTTCAACCAGGGCATTCAAAAACAACATAAAAGTGAGCAAAAAATTGTCCAATTCCTAGCATCAGATAAGCAGGTGAATCAGATCAAGTAACAGGCCAGCACAGGATTGCCTCTAATTTTTCATGGTGCCCAGCAAAAAGAGAAGATCTTTGAAACCTCCTGCCATAAAGAAGATATGTAGTAAGAGCTCCCTCTCGCCCTGCTTCCAGCACCTTGCTATTCTTTCAGGGAAAAAAAATAGACAAAGATTAGGCAATGATGCTGGCATTCCTTATTAATAGTACATGAAAATTCAGATATTCAAGAGGAAAAAAAAAAGGAGAGTGCCAATACGCTGGAAAATGGCTAGCAGCTAGGTTATTTGTAGAAATTTTTGCTCCACCGTCAAATTAGGAAGCAAAGAGGAGAGTGCCAATAGGCTAGACTATTGGAAAAGATTAAGCTAGCAGCTAGCTTTTGTATAAATTTGTGTTCCATCACCAAATTAGAATGCTAAGAAAGCTGGCCCTCATCTATCAAGTTGGCTGGGTTCTCACCGTTCAAATTGGCAGCTAATTCCTACAAGTGAATTTCACTCGCCCCTTTGAAGAGTTTAGAAGGGTCCATCATGAAGAGTTACTCGTACTCACCTAATAATTTCACCTCCAAAACTCTAAATAGATAGAATTATTCCCCCTGGTACCAATTTCTGTGGCTTTACGGGTTGAGGAGTATAATTTATCTGAGTTCCCTGCAAACACACTGTAGAGAAGTTGTTGCATATTTATTTACTCATTTCGTGGTTCAGGTAAATGGGTGGAAGTAGGGATGCGCATGAAGAGCCTGCTGAAATTTTGGTGAAATAGATACCTTCTTCAAAGCTGACGAAAGCATCTGCACCGGCTTTGAAATCATATAACTGAAGATTCCTGTTATACGTATAATTCAATAAAATGGCTCAAAAATGGCCAAGGGGACAGAGGAATCTAAAAAGAAACATTAGAGATACCACTTTCTGCTATCACAATTATTCCTTTGCCGCAGATGTTCAAAAACAATGAAGATCAGGATTCAGGAAAAAAAAAATCATTGACATAATCACCATTTGTGCATTCTGCTTCTCTATAGCTTGATTGCATGACTGGGCCATACAATGCAGGATCACCATGAAAAAGTCTAAGGAGACGATCCAAATACCAATCAAGAAAGAAGCCTACAACAAAAGACTAAGAAATATAGAAGCAAGCAACCCAAAAGGACAAAATCCGTGTGAATTATCTAAATATACATGCAAGCAAAAAAAATTTGGTTCAAATTTACCCACATTCAGTTGATATCACATGAGAAGCTTGTACGGGCTGCATCAAGCATGACAGAAAAATAAATCAACCGTGTCAACTGCCCCATATAACTGGAAACTTAAGCGGCATACAAAACCAACAAATGGTTAAACCTGGTGGGCCTAGTCAGTGATAGATCTAAGAATAAGGCTTCAAAATAAAAAAAAAGTTGGGAGGGGCAAAACTCGCTATATTTAAGGTTACTTAGCAAATATTAGCAAATACAATGTCATAACAAGTTATGTCATGGCATGAAATCTCACTTCTCTTGCAGCTAGGTGTTTCTTTTCTTTTCTTTTTTCACTCTCTTGCAATAAAGCTTAGTCTCAAGTGGCTAGTAAGATAGTTTTGAGTTAAATTACCTTGTATTGAGAGACCCTTTATGCACTGTAAGTGGTCCTCTAGTTAGTGAGTGAGTCCCCAAGCAGACCTTCAAGGCTTAAGTGGTCTAGCAATTGAACTTACAGTCATTTCAAACTAGTCAAAATTATCCTCCATGTTAAGCCAATAAAAACTTCCGGGAGAGGAAAGCCAGGGTGCCTTGCTGCCCGAATGCCCCTCCATGGGGTAGAAACTTAGATAAGTTCTTTTATGTAATTCTTAAAGTTACAAATACAAAATTAAAAATTTTTCTGCTACTGATTCACTTTTAAAGCCAAGCCTTGAAAGATGCATGTCAGTTGGGTCTTTGAACATGCACTGACGTTTTTCAAGCAGGGTACGTGGATTGGCCAGAGCCTTCCCCAGCTAATGACACCTCGATCCCGAAGTCTTTGGAGTATCTTTTTGATAGGCATCTCTATTTATATGGGGGAATCCACATGGTTAGATCTTGCCCCAGGTCTTCCAATCTAGGGGGGATTCGTAATTAATCATTTGTCAGATCCAGGGTAAATATGAAGTACGCAAATCACAATCAATGCCCTACGACACCATGGCTGAAGAAGAGGGAGGGAGAGTCAAAAGGGAGAGCTTATAAATCTCATACATCGCACAGTTGAGTCTTAATAAAAATGGTGTATCTATCTCTTGTCTATATATCATTGGTTCTATGTGTGAATCAAGTCATTCATCTTTGGGATGTCCTTTAATATCACGTGTTTCAGTCACCCAAAAAAAAAGACTATCGTACTGCAAGTTAAACAATGTATTCAGCATAGCATAAAGCAACTTACCATGAGGCCACTTGGACAGTTCTTCCCAATCGTTATTAGTGCCTTTTTGCCAGATTATTATCTTTCTTCTTCTGTTGATGACCCCTGATGAAGACTTGATAATTCCAATGATGAAAAGAATAAGCTTTTGCACTTTGGTTACCTTGTTTACTCTTCCCAAAATAAATGCACCTTTAATTTGATATTCATGATAGTCGACCAAAAGGGGATCAACACGCAGGGGTAGGTCTTCAACGTGACATCCAAGGACACAGTGCATTTGAAGGACAGAAACTGCAGTAGGTTCAATCACTAAATTTAAGCCATTTGGAAACTTTCGAGCTAGAGAATCCACCCAAAGAAAGGAAGGAAAAAAATTTAGGCGAGCTATGCAGATCTAGACCATAGATAAAAAGCAGTCTGGTCTGCCTCTTACCCTTGCCCTTTTAGCTTAATAACTCCCCAATCCATTTATGGCTTCCATCTACAGATGTATCCTCCTCTGTCATGACATAACTTAGATGACGAGAAAAACCACACTCGCAGTCACCATCTAGTATAAAAGGTTCAATTTCAGCAACATAACCCTCGTCTTTCATGAATGCAGTCAAATCCTTCAAAACCGCATGGATTTCAGCAGCATCAGGATGAAATTTATCCCCTGCGACAAATAAGTTCGCCTTCTGGCCCACCGTAATCCAACTACAACCAGGAGATTTTATCACTCCTTTTTCTTTCATTGCCCTTCTCACAAAGTTAACCCCATCCCAATTGCTTGATGCGGCGTATATATTAGAAAGCAGCACATAAGGAGAAGAATTCTGAGGTTCCAACTCAATGAGCTTTTCTGCTGCACGTTGCCCTCGTATGTCATCCCCATGTATTCTGCAAGCGCCAAGAAATGTGTTCCAAATCATAGCATCAGGCTCAAATTCTAGTTTGTCGATAAAATCCTCTGCTTCCTTGAGAGAACCCCATCGGCCAAGAAGATCGATCATGCAGGCACAGTGATCTACACGTGGCTGAATCAAATAATGATCGACCATAATATCAAATATTTGGCGGCCTTTAGATACTCTCCCTGCATGACTACATGCAGTAAGCACACCAAGGAATGTGACTTCATCAGGCTTTACATGTGTTTGCTTCATCTCATTGAAGATCTTCAATGCATTTTCGGCATAACCATTTTTTGCAAATCCTACTATCATGGAATTCCATGAAATAACGTCTTTCTTGGTGACCATTTCATTGAAAACTTGCACTGAATTTTTAATATCCCCACATTTAGCATACATGTCAACAAGGGCACTCCCTGTCAACTCATCTGAATCAAAACCAGTATGAAAAATGAGAGAATGGATTTCCCTACCATCCTGCAAAGCAGCTAAGATTGCACATGCTCTAAGGACACTAACAAATGTTGCCTGATCTGGCATGGCATTGGATTTATGCATTTCTCTATAAAAAAGTAATGCCTTCTCACTGCAATCAATTTGAGTGTGTCCTGAAATTATAGCAGTCCATAATACTGTGCTCTTTGGATTTGGGAACTCTGAGAAAAGAACACTTGCATCTGTTTTTCTTTGGGTGGTCATATACATGCCCAAGAGAGAGACGGCCAAAAATTCATCATCATATGAAAGTCCGATCTTCTGTATTAAACAGTGAAGCTGCCTCCCAAGTTTCAAGTTAGAAGGTCCACTGCATGCATCCAAAAGGCTGGCAAAGGTGACTTCCGAAGGTTTCAGTCCTTCAGCCAGCATATATCGAAATAGAATTACTGCTTCCTCGATACTTGTTTGAGCATACCCAGCAATTAAAGCATTAATAGAAACCACGCTTCGCTCACGCATGCAAGAGAAGACCTGGCTTGCAGCCCTAATGACCCCACACTTAGCATACATGTCAATAAGAGAGCTTCCAGCATAAAGACTTGTTTCTAGACCATATTTGATCAATAAACAATGTACCTGTTTTCCTTTTTCAAGGGCTTGTATATTTGCACAAGCACTAAGTATACTGGCTAAGGATACTTCATCAGGAGCAACTCCACCTGATCTCATTCTCTGAAACATGTCAAAAGCCTCATCTTCTTCTTCTTCCTGCACAAATCCAACAATAATTGCGTTCCAGGAAACATGATCTCGATTCCTTATTAGCTCAAATTGTTTCCTGGCATCGTTTAGCGCCCCCGATTTGGCATACATATCCACCAATGCATTACCCACAAATAAGTTTGATTCAAATTTGTTCTTGATGATAAACGAATGTATTTGGTGCCCCATATTTATACTTTCCATTCCGGCACAAGCACTCAGAATGCTAGTATAGGTAAATTCATCAGGTTGAAAACCAGAATCCCTCATATTCATGAACAACTCTATTACTTTACAAGTGTACCCATGCTGGGCATAACCTCCAAGCATTGCATTCCACAACACAACATTTTTCTCCTCCAATGCATCAAATATTTTCCTTGCAGTTTCAATGCTTTGACACTTGGAATACATATTAATTAAAGAACTGCCCACGTACACATTAGAATCTAACCCCTGTTTAGTTGACTGAACATGGACCTGCAAGGCATAGTCAATATTTGCTAAACTCGCAATAGCACTCATAACACTTCCTAGAGTGGACCTTGTCGGTTTAACACCAGCTGTATTCATATCTTGGAAAAAGTTGACAGCTTCCACCTCACAACCTCTCTGGGCATGCCCCGAAATTATCACATTCCAAGCTACAGCATTTGGGCTAGGCATATGAGAAAACAAGTGGCACGCATCATCAAGTCTTCCTAGCGCAACAAATGCACTTATGACAGTTACAAATGTTACCTGATCTGGAACATGGCCAACTTTTGGCATCTCCTCAAACACTTTTAGTGCCTCCTCAGGCAAACCAATTTGAACATAACCTTGAATCATTGCTGTCCAAGAAACAGTATCAGGTTCCGCTGCCCCATCAAATATATGACGAGCGTCAACTACATTATGGCATTTTGCATACATGTCAATAAGAGAACCTTGACAAAAGGAATTAGAATCAAGCCCCATCTTGGTAACACTACAGTGCACTTGTTTCCCAAACTCAACATCAAACAATCTAGCAGAAACTGATAGAACAATTGCAAATGTAAACTGATTTGCCTCCACCCCACAATTCTGCATAAAGCCATAGTATTTCACCACATTTTCCAGCATTCCATGCTTCGAATACATCGATAAAACTGAATTCCAAGCCAATGTGCCTATGTTTTCAAGTCGGTCAAAGGCCTTTTCGGCATATTCCACATTGCCACATTTTGCATACAAATCCACAATTGCATTTCCTAGCTTCCCCCCTGATCCAAACCCAAATTTTAAGCTGTGCGAATGAATGATTTTACTAGCTTTCGATGCATATAAAATTCTCTGGGGCATTTCGTCGAACAAACGGCGTGACTGAATTTGTTTGCATTGCTGTAGACATGTGTTCAGGAGATGGGTATAGAAGTGATGCTCTGTAGTTGTTGTGGTTTCAGGGTGCAGATTATGGTGCTCTACTTTTTGTGGGATTGTTGAGAAATTGGGTTCGTGAAGCAACGAGTGTGAGTTTGGTATGCGTTGTGACAATTTCAGATATATTCTGTGACGCATTGAGTCGGAGACGACTCAGACATCACAAGAGTTCGTCGTCGATTAATGTCGAGTACACAAGGAGATAGATACGCTAGAATTGTCCGTTGGCGTGGTTTTGTTAAGAGTCTTGGCGCCAAATAATGTTCTTTGATGTCATAAGGTTGGCTTTTAATTATAAATTAAAAAAAAAAAAAACCAAAAAATTATAAATTAAGACCATTAAATATTAATTAACCTATATTGAGGTTTCATAATCTAGGAAGAACTGGAAGTTTGTCTCCTCCGATATCCGTTAATGGATCGAATTTTGTCATATCTAAATTTGAATCTGATTATAACTTACGTGATCTGATTATTCAACAGATCGGATACGAAGCATTATAATATTTTTGTGATATGATTAACTTTTGAATATTTGGTCCGAAAATTTAATCCGATTCGATTCGTTCATGTACAAAGTAAAATTATCTTACAAATATCTCACAAATTATAACACATTCAACTCCGTACAACAAAAATATTATAATACTTACTCATTTAAAGCCTTAACGAGCAACATAAATTAAATATGTCAACGTCAAGTTTAGTTATAAATAATGAAGAAGAAGGCAGAAGGAAAAAAAATGTGGGAGATGAACAAATATCGATAGATATAAATTCACAAGATAAAAAATATAAAAATAGAAGGTATATATACAATTCAGATCGGATTTGATAAATTCATAGCCGAATCCATTAAATATAACATAACATATTCGGATAATCGATAAAAATTATTAATTCACATCCGATTAATCAAATTCAAATTCGGATTAGATTCGAATTAAAATCCGATTGATTAACAGAGTTCCATCCATTTACTATCTTAAATTCTCACTTCTGACATGTCTCTTTCTCTTTTGATAAAAAAAACACAAACAGACATAAAATAGTTTATATTATTAGTCTCTTTCTCTTATTATTTCACTATCTTTTCTATATAATATAATTGTGAGAAAAAAAATTGGGATTTAAAAATTTTACCAAACCACTGGTCTACCTTAATTGGCTGCCTCTGAATCTTCTAACTAAGAGATCGGAGGTGTTAAATTAAGGGCGATGAGATTCAATCACAAAATTTCTTATTAACATGTTAAACAATTATCTCTCTAATTTCTTAAATTATGACCAATCATACGTCAAATTTTTGTAGAAACAATCGAAAAACGACCCTGTATAGTTTACGACATTTGAGAGTAATCCTAATATGATACGAGGTGGGTTTTTAGAGTTAAACAATCGAAAAATGATCCTATATAGTTTACGACATTTGAGAATAATCCTAATATAATACGAGGTGGATTTTTAGAGTTTTGGGGCGATCACCCCGCTCTACCCCCGCGATCCATTATTGCTCTGCATCCTTTTGTGTGCCTTTTGGTTTTCACCGGTTCTGCAGCACACCATCTATTCCAAAAGCATTTCATTTGTACATGCTGTCACATATTGAGTCATCCATTTCATTACTAAGAACTGTAGTGTTGTACTGCAATTGCTTTTCCCCTGTTTCAAATTCAAATGTAGTAACTACCTGCTCAACATAATGCTTGAAAAACAACCTTCCACTCGTATAAGTCGACCAAATTTTAGTAAATTCAAAAGAATCGGTGTTCCTTCCCCTATGAAAGCAAAATAAATTTAAGATTACAAGGAATTTCTAGTTCCCACTAGCACTCATCCTTATAGTTCATCACATATCAATTCATACACACACGCGCATCTGAATACAAAACTAAATCCATGCACTTGATACGGATTTTGATGCATAAGCTTAGAGGGGAAAATTGGGTGGGTTGAGTTAGTTATAGATTGAGTTAAATTGGATTGGGTCAAAATAAATTCAATTTACTTTTCACTCACGTATTAAATAGGTTATGATCAATTGAATTTATAACAGACTGGGTTAAACCATTAACCCATAAAATAATTAAAACTCTTAATATGAACTCATACTAATATATCAAAAAGATATATTAATACACCAAAACATACACATTAATATACTAAAATACACACACTAATACACCAAAAATACACATACATATACTAACCCACAAAAAACACAAATACATTTAATAAAAAAAACCAAAACACATACACTATTCACCAAAATACACACATATTGGGTCGGGTCAACCATGGGGCGTAGGTCAATCCATGGGTCATGGGTCACATTAAGGTCAACACGTTGCCATGGCTCATGGGTTCATCCATAGGGTGACCCATGGATCATGGGTCAGGCCAAGTCGTTGGTCATGGTCGGGTGTATCAATGTGTGTGTTTTGTAAACTAGTGTGTGTATATTTTTTTGTGTATTAATAAATTTATTTGATTTATTACTTGTGTTACTTAATATAAAGATAAATATTTCACCCAATGGATACTCATTTATATTTTGTCTTAGCCCGTTTGATTAAAATGAATCATATTACCTACGGGTTAATAGATAGTGGATTAGGATTGTCGCGTAGACAACAAGAGAAATGATTCCTCATTCTATGCGGATATGGAGAGAAAGTGATATAGACAAAATGGGATTTGTATTTGTTTATGGGTAACTCGATCAATTGAGATTTGAACATTCAAGGGAACCAATTTCCTCCCATATCGACACATCTCTCTGGCTCGTGTGCTACAGTTTTGGTTAGTTTGGACAAAACCTAACAGTTCCATTTTGATTAAAAACACAAAGGATCATGAGCCTATTTTTAAACATAAGAGAGACCATGTATTCCAAGACTTGAACAGTAATTGAGCCTTTTTTTTTTTCCCTTTTTCTTATTAAAGCTTAAAGCCATGAATCCAATCAACCATTGCATTTTGATGCAAGGACATTGAAAAAAAGTATAGAAA